TAATTAAACATTCACAAAGATCCAGATTAACCCATGATCATGTGACCTCGTTATGATCATGTGAGTTAGTACTATAAAATCATTTCAGTCTGGCCTTAGTATGCTGGTGACACAAAAAAGATGCAAACGTCAGGACAAATGTAATTAAAAATTGAGTTTATACTGTAGTATTTTTGTTAATTTTAGGTTCATATATTCAGATTAAGTCATTTTTAGTGTATGTATTATTTATTCCTTAACCAAAGCTTGTTTCAAAAATGATTTTGATGGTTGTACATGGAATTTTATGATTTTTTGTAATAAATACAATAACTTGCAATAATAGGGGAATGCAAATATTAATATGTAATTGGCATTTGAAATAAAAGAAAATAATAAAACCTAATCCAATTGGTTTAGTTGCCATCACAGTATATGTCACAAACTAAAACTATCTGAAAAATACACCACTGACAGTTTGACACCACTGATCTATTCTAGACGATTCAAAGCGATTTGCTTTGGGAAATAATATCCCTTCAATTAAATTGAAAAAATCTCGCTATATTGAATACAAAATCGTTGCTATCATAAAGGTAAACCAATTCAGCCACTCGGAATATATTGGCCTTCACAAAGCAATGGAGGCAAATTGAGAGTTCATGAGCTATGAAATTTTGTTCTCCCTTTGTCTTGAACTTTTCATACTCCTCAGCCTCTATTAATTTATTTTTTAATTTTAATTGTCATGTGATGGTCATACAAATCTTTAACTTGTATTTTCTGTCATAATGTATTATCTCAATGTGTCAAACTTTTAATTAGTGTGCATATTTTGCTTCCAGCTAAAATAAATGTTTTGTCTTGCCTATTACCTCAGCTTGGAGTATTGACAAGAAAAAGGTGCCCATAAATTACGTAAAAGATTTTTTAACTCATTGTTATAATCAGAAATCACAATTAATAGGAATTATAAACACCCAACAATCAATGAGAATTATACGCCAAATCCCTCATTTGTCTTCTAAAATCGGAGGAAGGCAAAACATGTAGGTAGTTTCCATTCACACAAGTCTTTCAAGAAGACTTGCTCGAGACAAACTAAATGAGTATCGTCAGGTGATCGATAAGGCTGCAAGTTGAATCAGCCCTGCAACCTCCTGCATAGAAGATAATATTAATTAATGGGCTATGAGCTAAATTTAGACACAAACCTATCTACGAGGCATTATGTACCAGCAATGTTACCTACGATTAACTGAATATGAAATATGTCTAATAAATTCACCTACTAAAGCAAGTTCGATAAGTGCAAACTTTGTGTTATGGAATTGTATCACAGCACCGTTAAGAGAAGTAAAAACAGTTTTGCTGTTTTGTATGACACCCTCTTTAAATGAAATTTCAATGTTTAAGCGCAAACATTAAAATTATTAACTTTGAACTTTGTCATTATCTGCAAAATGTTCCACACAAATCTTTACGCTATCGCGTTTGTAATCTTCTCTGATAAAAAAAACGTCTATGATGTCTAGAATTACTCTTTACAGCTTGTCTGCCATTCCAGCTTCCCAAGTGAGCAAAGCTTCTTAGATATAGAGATTATTTTCTTTTGTTACAGGCGCAAAAAGGGCAGGTACTACAAGTAAAGAAGACGCCGAGTAGCAAAAGCGAGTGGAAAACGATCGCGAAATGCGACGAGAAATATGTGCATTGGAGCGTATCATGAAATACAATCTTTCGCATGTAGTCTTATGGAGTGACGTCAGAGTTGCCTATCATGTTGTTTAATGTCATTGGTGTCATATAGTGAAGCCCTGGTATATTATAATGTTCTTGACAGTTTTCTGGTTTAAGCAAAGGAATATTTTTATTTGGATGGCAATATTAATCAAGAAAAGCATGCAGAACGGAAAAAGCACGGTTTCTGAATCTTGCGAGAAAAAGCGAAAAGTGTGATTACTCGGCGCCAAGACATCGCCCGGCCATACGCACCTATCAAGCAGCAATATGACGACGAAGAGAAATTGCGTGATAAACCAACATAATTTCGCCTTCGGGAAAGCGATTGAGACGGTAGAAAAACAACAAAATGAAATTTTCCGCGGACCGGCGGTTGGCAACCACTGGGCTATACAGTACAAGACAACTATCCTGAGGTTAGCTGTTAGCAAATCAATTGCGGTCATGAATATATCCGCATGAAAGTAGTACAAAAGTTAATTAATGTGACTTGTGAAATTGGGGCAATACGTGAGCGATTACAGTAGCCTACTATTAGCGCAAAATGCACGTTCGACGTTCATTTTAGCAAGAGAAACGTACACAGCAACAATTTCTCCGAAAGCACGCGTCACGAGTGCATCCTTCGCAGAAAACGTTGTGTGATCGTTGCGTACCAGTAAAGAATTTTTGCCTATTTTATCACAGCTATTTCCAGACTAATTTTTGATTACTGGTTACTGCAATTAAACTACAACTCCTAAGGAGGCCAAATGATGATTGACCTATTTGATTCATACTTAAATTTCCGAAACACAACCAAAACCTAACGAATAGCATTTTAAATCGCGAAAACGAAGTATTGTTTACAACCACGGCTGAAAATCTAACCCTGAGTGACAAAAATGTCTGAGCGGATGCAAAAATGCTTATTGTTACGTCACTTTTAACATCTCGCTGATTCGCCAATGTTACGAAATTAACGAGGAAGGCGATGCTCGGCGAATCATCCCCTGCCGGAGAAAAATTTCGCCAATTTTCGTGTTATCGCGGACCAGATGAAAGGACGCCAAGGGCCGGATCTGGCCCGCGGGGCGTAGTTTGGTGACCCCTGTGCTGAACCCGACCATTCGCCACCAACGGGTGCCTTCGTCATGCACGTTCATACATCTGTTTTAAATACACCCATTCTTGGCCGTGGTTGGTTGGTCTCTAATTTTTGGCTATTGAAAATGAACTGAAGCTCTTTAAAAAAAAAATGACAGTTAAGCTATTTGATTTCCATCAAATTTTTCTACACAGCTGAAAACTGAATAATAACACGCTAAAATGAATTTATGTTTACAACCATGCTTGATATCTTCTTCAATGAAAGAAGTGTCTGAGCGACTGTACAAATTGTAATTGTTACGCCATTGTCAACTTAGTGCTGATTGGTCATTGTTGCGGAAATAAATAAGGAGATGTGAAATTGATCCCTGAAATTATAATAAAATAACAAAATTTGAGGTGAAACATAGGATCTCATAGGAAATTGAAAAATAGGAGTAAGAGCCCTCTAGCCACTTCTATTAGTTATGAAGAAAAATGATTCTTTCGCAATAAAAGAGTCGTCCCAACAACATGAACAACGTCGTCGGTAAACAATTCATAGGGCTACTTTTTGTCCAACAAGTTTTCTTCAATTTTTTTTGTTAATAAAAACATCACTTTTCATAAACACAATAACACATAAATACAACTGCACTTGAAAAAAAAGAGATTAATACAATTTTCCACTTTCCACATAGACTGACAATTTACCATCTTTAGTTGTAGTAATTGTTTTAAAATTAATAATATTTTTTATCATACAGGGTGACCCAAAAACGGTACCCATAAATTTGTCACCCCGTATATAAAAATGGACAAAATTAAGGCCTTCAATTACTATAAGTTTACATTTGTAAATCAAATGTCTCGCGCATAATAAATCGCAGTTTTTACCTTGGTTTTGCCCCACCCCAAATCCTCCTTCCATATATAAAAGTTTTCCTTTACAATATATCTAACCAACAATTGAAGTTTTTTTTATTTATTTTTTATTAATAAAAACATCACATTATCACATAACACTTTTATATAGACACAATAGCACTGATACATTTGCATTTTAAAAAAACGAGCACATACTAGTTTTCCACATCTTATTATGGATTGACAGTTTACCATTTTTAGTTGCAATAGTCTTTTCACAGTTTATAATATTTTTTATTATATATAAAAATTGGCAAAATTGAGGCCTTTCATTACGCAGTTTACATTTGTATATAAAATATCTGGCACATAGTAAAACACAGTTTATACCCTGGTTTTGCCCTACACCCAATAACATTTCTCTATGTGTCAAATTGAAGTTTAATCCATACTCAACGGTTGGCCAAGCGTTAACTATTTCCCAAAATTGCTGCACAAATTCACAGAGATAAAACAAGAGAGCTATGCTCAAATATATGGACACGTAGCGCCACCCAATGGCAATAATTTTGATGACGTCATAGCGGAAAAAAAAGTAATAGCCTTCTGGAGAAAAATTTTATCTTTAACCACTGAAAATTTCAAAGCAATTGGTTCAGTATTCGAAGATAAAAGCGATTTTTTAAAAATGATGGAGACAAATAACAATAACAACAAAATTTTGAAACGATCGTTATGTCCACTAAACGTGTCCAATAAATGTAACACAGTTTCAACATGCATATTACAAAATGTAGAGACGTTTTATCAATGCTTTTAATATATTCGTAGTAAATATATAAGTATATATAATATATTCGATAAGATTAAGATGTGGATTGATTGGTGGATTGATGGACCAACAAGTGAAGTTGTAGATTCACTGTCTTTTGTTATACCGTAGTAGTATATATTTACGGTTATACTCTACCCAAATGGTGGTGCCAGAGAACCTACATTTCGCTCGTATCTGTTTTGAGATAATCAATGTACAATTGTAAATTGACTCTTTTAACGCCGTTAATAAAATTATACGGGCAGCTCCGCTTTATGTATGTAGATAATCGAATCATCATATCAGCATATTAGGATGTTTTCTATTCGTTGCTATCAAACGTGGATTTGTTCAGAACCAGAAGTATTGAGCACAGTCAGATAGTAGAGCAACCGTTTTGTTAATTTGTCAGATCTGCAGATTGAGAGGTACCCTACCTTAAGTTCTATCTAAATTGATTGTCTTTTTGTTTTAATGATAAATGTATACCGGTACTGCCCTATATACCGCTACTATTACACCTATGTATTCTTCCGCTCGTTTCGGTATTTACTATTTAGTCGCATTGATACATGCCGGACTGACATTCGCGCTTGATAACGGCGGGCGGTTGTCGCTCGACAGGGTCTACTGACTTAATTTCCCTACTGCCCTAAACCCAGTAAGCTAATGCAAGTCTGCCATACCCATATTACAGTATTAGCGGCTGTCGTTGAATAAATTCATTTTTAATTTATGTGTATTATGAAGTTTTTCAAATAAACAATCCATCTAAATGCTACATACAGACATATGTTAACAAACCCTTCACAAATCACTCTGTTGATATAATGTCTGAATGTGCAGATCCACTCATCCACTTTTCTGAAAGACAGAATATGATAGACTACTGAGTCCTAAATTGTGGCTTTGTTAATTAAGGTAGGCTATGACCCCAATTTCTGAATTTAGTGATAAATTGAGGCTTTCACATAATCATACATAATAGACCTAACTAATAATAAGCATTTCACCCACACACATACCCGAGTTGGACAATGTAAAACGCCATTAGAGACAGGTGCGAATATGTTATCATTGCCAATTTATATAGAAATGTGCCTGAAGTGCGTCATGTTTCATTTCCCTTCAGAGCAGACCCAAAAATGGATGCCAGTGATGCTGATCTGACTATTGCACTTTTTATATTTTTTAGCTTCAATATGGAGAATTCTCATCAAGCAACTACAGGTGCCCTGGCTGGATCATTGTTTCTAACTCCTGTTAATAATGTCGATACTGTAAGTTCATATTTTTTTTCAGGTTTTGTTATTCGTTCATCTTTAGTTAACTTCTTCATATTTCATCAATAATTGTGATAGTGTCAAATTGATCTACTAAAACTCATTGTTTTTATGTGTCATCTTATGTATTATGTGTATTTTGGGTGATCCAGAAGTATGTGTACCAATATGAAGGTAAATTTTGTTCGCCTACTTTACATCAGGTTGTGTAAAGGGACTGAAACCTGTGACAGGGGGTATATATTCACTTGGCTAAAACAGACAGTCCCCGAACTCGGAATTTTGGAAAATTGGAATAAATTTATGGCCTAACCCTAGCCTGGTACCCATACTACGGGAGTACCATATTTTGTATGCGCAAAATAAGTTGAATAGTGGTCATTGAATCCAATCAATGCTTTGTTTGTTCCTAACTCAGATACTTTATGGATTTAGTCATCTATCCTGAAACTTTAAAAGGGTAAATTATTAATTAATTAACCTCACAAGGGTTCTGGGTCCATCTTTTAGATGGACTACTTGTGATCCCATATGCTTGAAACATTCCAGAAACATTTGATTTTGAATGGTTTAAATTTTTACGTCCTGCCCTGCAACATTTGAAACCAAAATGCTTCTTTGTTTATTCAACACAGGGATCGAATCCTGCAAACACCTTATCTTTCTCTCAACTCACACCTGCTACAGCTTTTTCCATTCCAGAGGGCCAACTGTCTGTCATAGAGAGCGATGGACAGCAGTATCTTATTTTGCCAAATTTTACTGTTGGGGCAGACAGACAACTTATATTGCAGAATCAAATTACACACGATGCAGTGGGGTAATATTGAGAATCTGATTACACAAATGCTTGAAAATGACAGTTTTAATATGCTGTTGTTGAAATTATAGAGGAGTATATGCAAGTAGGCTACTCTTAAATTTCTCATGGTTTATACACCTACCTTGTCTTGCTGGAATAATTTTTGGGAAAAACTATTTTCAAAACGATTATTTATTATAAAGATGGTTGTGGTCATACGCAATTAGTTTTCATCAACGACAAAATTAGTTTTTTGTGAAAGCTAAGACAGGCAATTGTACTCACAATTTAGAATAATACAGTTTTTAGTACACTTAGTTATCTTAAGTATACTATCTATATTTTGAATAAATAATACATTTGTTTTTGTTTAGTCTGGAGCCCAACCAGCAAGCTCAATTATCGAGTGAAGAAATCATGCAGTTACAAATTCCTGTTGTTGCGCAATCATCTGAATCTGATCCAACACTCACATCTATGACACAAACTGAAAAACAAATTGAAGATAGCACTAGTGTACTTGAAAGAATCCCACCACCCACTTTACCAAAAATGCCTCCATTTTCCACTGCAGCTAGCATGATACATTTCCACGAAAGCATGAATAAGGAATCTGAAAGATTACCGATGGGTCAGCTCGATATTTCTGATATTATCCCTTCATTTTTCAAACGTACTGTTCTCCAAGAGACAGAAACTTGTGGTTCGAAAGCTTGCTCAAAATGCCAATTCAAAGCAGAAACTCTGGAACAACTTAAAGAACATAAAAAGCTGCATAAGTATGTATCATATTTGAGAATAGCATGTTTATATATGCTTGATATAAAATATAAGCATGTTTTTTTTTTCATTGCTACTGAAGTAGTTTTGGTCTGTAGTTGTGTTATAATCTTGGCTGATTTTGGCTTATATACTTACTACTATTTTTAGAGTTTGTATTCATTTTCAGGGATATTGAAAAACCCAAAAACACAACTCAAAGAAAAAAGGCTGAACCTAGAATCCCAAGAAAGAAGGGGAGACCACTAGGTGCAAAAAAGAAAAAAGCAGCTCAGATGATTAGGTCAGATAAACTCATCTGTCACTCTGGAAGCAAGTGCCATTATAGAATATGTTATTCAGAATATTTTGATGTTTACTGAGGGGAAAGTGTATCTCATTCTGACTAGTTAAGACATGGTTTGATTTGATTCATTGGACAATGAATAAACACATTTGAATCGAAATAAATATATATGGAATTGTTTAGTTCGCTGAGCTTATAAATAATTTTGCAACCTTGGAATTTTTATTCTGACTCGAGTTTTACTATTTAGGACTCTTCCTGCACCTGGTTCGACGAATTTTCCTCCAAAATGTCACATATGTCAATTAGATATATCAAGTTCATACCAATACAAGAAACATATGAAAGTTCATAAAAAGGAAAAGGTATGTTTTATTTTATGAATTACATGAAGGGTATTCTATTCATGGCAATTCCATAGATATGGATAGATTGTTTTGTTTGTGTAAATGGTGATGTAAAAAAAAAACTATTTAATGAGGTTGAATAAGTTTGTAAAATAATAATTTTGATTCCTCAACTTATATATAAAAGTTCAGTGTCCAAGTGCATGATGAAACAATTTTCAGTGCAGTGCATTCGTTTTGGGTAGATTAAGCCAGATCAAAAAGTTTAAAGTTTGTGCAAAGCATAATAGCATCTCACCGAATTATTGGCTGTTTCATGTCCCGCAGCGATGTCTTTACAACTAGTTACATATTCACATTGTATTCGGTACTATTTTTAATTACCTGATTTACAACATTTCAGCCTCATCGTTGTCAAGACTGTGGGGAATCTTACAACAAAGAACACAATCTACAATTACATAAATCTATACATAAAAGTGAAACAGCAAATGGAAAATACGAATGTCCTGAATGTAAAAAAGCATTCGGCAGAATGGCAGGATTGAAAATGCACATTTTAGTTCATGCAGAAGATGAGGTAAAATTGGAATATTATTCGCTGGTCATTAGCTTAACGGAAACGGTGTTAAACCTATATTTTACGTTATATTTTTTCCAAGCTCTATGTGTATTAGTATCCCATATGCTGGTATTCGCACATTCATGATCCCTAGCCCCCTTTCAAAAAATCTCAACACTTGTGGCCCCTGATTTTTCATGATCTTTAACACGTTTCCATCAGTTATTGATAATAAAAAAAGTTGAGCAAAAGAATAAATGCATTACAGTCCGAGAATTGAACAAAGCAAAGTCAAATGTACCTAAAAATTAATATAGTCGTTGAGAATGGACCCAGTGAAAACTTGTGGCCCAAAAAGAACCGCTCCGCGCCCCACCGGGGGCTGGAGGTCCAGCTTGACATTGACTTCGATAGTAGCCGTACATGTTTCTAAGTGGTTCTTTGAATCAGCATATTATGACATGGCCTAACGTATATCAAATTTACTATTCGGAGCCTATATTCCCAGGTTTTTATATGATCTAAATTTGAAATAACCAAATATTTGAAATCTAATTATATGCCATATACCAATAAAAACTCCAGTTTTAAGTAAAAAAATTTGTATTCAGAATTACATTTGCAAAGAATGTGGAGATGAATTTGCATCCAATGAAGCATTAACATGTCATATTAGTGAACATAACGATGATCTGGTTCGTCATCTGCAAGATAAAGGCAAAGTTCTGAACGATTCATTATCACAGAATGGTACACTACCAGCTTGATAATCTGATTGTTTGTTGCTAGTTTTGTAACCAACACAATGATTGAGTATCAGGGCGGGGAAGTCCGATATAAGTGAAATATTCAATTATGTTTGAAATTGGTGATTTAATTATTTTTGGAATAATTAAGAATATTTCTTATTGTAAAAAATCTGATTAAAATGACATTTTTACCTTATTAAACTGGCTTGTGAAATTTATGATAAGAGTTGAAAACCAGCCAAAATAACTTTTCTGCATTACAAATATCAATCCCTTTGAACAGGAAAGAAAATTATTGTATTTTTGGTGATTTGATCAGATACAATATTTGCAGTATTGAAGATTACCGTATATAAGATAATCATCGTCCAGTATTTTTCTTAATTTGGAAATACCTTTTTTTCAGTTGATGGGCTAAATCAAATGAGCGATTTTGTTAATATTTCTCAAGAACAAAGGTATGCAGCTGTATTCAAATAATCTACTTTAGTTGATGTTTTAGCTAAAAAATAGCTCAAGGAATTTGTTGAGATTGTGATTGGATTTAGTTTTGGCATAAGGCCCACTGTTTTTCACTTTTGCTTTTGTAATACTTTAAATATTGTTCATAAAATGTAACTTTTTACGTCACACTTAGGCGCGCCACCATCAATAAATTGCTTAAATTTGGATTTTGTCCATACATAAGACATATCAGTCTATTACGGTATGTTGCAACTTGTACTGGTTTTAGTGTAGGCAATTAAGCACTACCTGTATGCGCATCGGCACCAGCTTCTTTTATTTTCCACTAAGCAGTAATAAATATTCCATGACGTTTCAAGTCATATTTTTATCATGTATCGTGGTGTTTTTATTTTAATATATTATTTTCACATTGTTCACTACAAACAAGGCATTGAACTGTTATGTGAGGAGTCAACATTTTTCTAAAGATTGTAATCTTTTCGATTCTGCATTGATTACTCTTGAATCTTCTGCAAAATGTAACCAGTTTTATTTTTGAATTGTAGTTCAACTGTAGATATAGACCCAAGTGCAATAGGACGAACATGTACCTTCTGTAAAAAAGTATTTCAAAGAAAAAGTCAATTGAAAAGGCACATAAGAATACATACAGGTATGATATGATGCTCATTAGAAATCTTTCTGTTATTTGCCAAATTGTGAAACATTACAAGTAGTATGTCCTTTTTCTTTTTGAATAGTAATATATATAAAAGCTTTGGAAAGTTTTGATTTTCTTGTGTGCAGAAAAGTTGTTTTGTTTAATTTCAGGGGAGAAACCGTATCGATGCCCAAACTGTGATAAAGCATTTAATCAAAAAGAATCGATGCAAACCCATATGTCAATGCACAGTGGTGAAAAGCCACACACATGTCCTCATTGTCCACAGGTAAATTGTAATTGTACAGGATATTTGTAATTAATCGTAAAACATTTCCTGTTTCAATTGATCTGATTGTTTTGACTGCTAAATGGATCCTATTGATATTTGATTAACCTTCTATGCGTTGTACTTTTGCTTAATCAATTGGAATAAGAGCATGCGCTGCTCGATAACCAGCATTGGTTTTCCGTGTTTTCCTTCAACCTGAGATGAGGTTTTTCAGTTTATTTCAATTTATTCTGTATTTTCAGTATGATGAAAAATAAAGCATTGATTTCTGAACATAGGAATTCAGAAAATAACTCTCATTTTTGTTCTTTCTCTTTTAATTTTCATCTTTTCTTATTTTAGACTTACAGACAGCGTGGAAATCTCAAGATTCACATTGCAAGAGTTCATCCATTCGATTCAACCAATGTTGAAACGTTTAATTGTTATTTATGTCCTTGTGTCTTCAGAAGACTAGGAAGTTTAAATGCTCATATTACAAAGTATCACACTGATCAAACTATGGTAGGTTTGTTATGAATTGCAAGATAATTATTGGGCGCTCCAGAAGTATGTGTACCAATATGGAGGTAACCAATTTTGGGGGCTCCCGAAGTATGCGAACCAAGATGGCGGACATCGGAATGTAATATGTGTACTAGGTTAGGGTTAGGCCATAATTTTAGGTATAAATACTACGGGAGGCTCTTGGCTAGTCTTCGAACTGATAATAGGACTAAAATAAGGAAAATTGAAAAAAAATTATCGCCTAACCCTAACCTGTTACCCATGTTACGTTCCGATGTCCGCCATCTTGGTTCGCATACTTCGGGAGCACCCAATTTTGTTTGCCTAGTACATCAAGTTGTGTAAAGGGACTGAAACCTATGGTTGGGGGGGTATATTCACTTGGCTAACACAGACAGTCCCTGAACTCATGATAGAACTAAATTAAGGAAAATTGGAATAAAGTTATGGCCTAACCCTCACCTGGTACACATACTGCTGGAGCACCAATTATTGTTATTAAGAAAGGAAAAATTATCTTAGAATAAGGCCCTAAATGTGTCATCAATTATGAGAGTGTGATTGGGTAGTAATATCATGAAAAAGGACATTTGTTTTATAATATGAAGAGGTCATTTACCATTATCAGTCAAGGCTCCTTCAATATGATGAATACAGTGAAGGGATTCAAGGGGTTCGCACAAGTTTTGACGCTAGACTACCACAGCAAATGGGCAACGTACAATCTATTTGTTTTGGTTCTAAAGTGCATTTTGCAATTAGGCTCTAATTTTTTTTATAAGGCTGAAACTGGTATGATGTCAATACTAAAAGAGAGGGATAAAGATTCTACTGTTGAAAGAAATGGGGAAAAACAGGATGAAAATACAGAGGAAAGTGACGAACTGCAAAAATTTATCGATACTGTTTTCAAGGTGAACATTAGTGTATGGCACCGATAGCACCGGGTTAAATAAAAATTGAAGAATTGGGTTCAGGCTCAATTATGCTAAATATTCTGTACAAAATTTTTTTCTATTTGCCCATGGTTTTTCCTTTGGGTCAAATGTTTTATTTTCACAAATACGAATCTCCGAATCGTATATCTGCAACCAATTTACATTTGCAGGATAAAACTTATGATACCGGAAACATGAATTTGAATGAAGACCAAGAAGCTGACATAGTTCATCAAGCATTAGAAAAATCAAATTTGGGAACAGAAAGGCTTGTATCTTTAATTTTCATTCCGAGAAATATCTTACAAGTGTGCGTTATTACGAAACGATTCACGATAGTAATAATTTTTACTTTTTTTCGCAGCATTATTAAACCTAAATTTATTGCATCTATTCAATGGTAACTTTAAATTACTTACATTTTTGTAGGTATTATGACACAAAACTCGGAAAAAAGTTATAACAGGCTTATAAACATCAAAAAACGTTAAAGCAGATTAGTAGTGTCTATTATTTTCATTTACCGGTAATACAACATACTGAACACTCTGAACAAGGCTCTGCACAATCTTTCCAGTTCAGCATTGCCTATCAAATTTATTACACACTGGGTGAGGTGTTGAGCATGGGATTTGAAATTAATTTTGTTTATATTTTAGTAATGCATTCTCCGAGCTTGATCCGACAGAACTTGAATTATCAACAAATCAGTTTATAAATGTTGAACAGACGAACGCACCTCAGAATCAACAAGTATGTGTTATTTCTGCATCTTACAATGTTCAGTAATATCATGGATTATATGTATCTCATTGCCTAAAAGATCTTGAAAATATCTCCAATAGAAGCTTATTTTACAATAATTGCGTCTAAGATTAATTATTTAACTTTTTGTTAATAATAAAGACTATTGAATTTAACACTAAATATAAATGTTATTAATATGATAAAAATATTTATAATTACGGTAAGAAAATTAGGTAAGTCGGTAACTCCAACTTGTAAGATTATGATGAACAAGTTCTTGAATATTATATTAAAGATTGAGCAAAACACTTCAATACTATCTGAACCTGTTCAACCATTACATGCAGAATCAACTGCGGGATTGAATTTAAATGCAACAGGTAATAAATAATAGGTTTGAATGCTGTATCTCTAGAAGGATTAGATTTGTAGTTCACCGGATGAGAACAGAACAGGCCTAAGTCACAATTTTGAGTTTTGAGAAAAACGCAAAAACTAATTTGGAACTTTTTTATTTTTGAATATCTAGATATTCGCTTTTAGTAAAGAACTGAGCTCTGGTTGTTTTGATGTGAGTGAGAATATCTTTGTAATCAATATTTTTTGGCACTTCAGCTTCATTTCCTTCTTGCTTTTTTACCCCCATAAAGGAATTTGGCCCATACTGTTCTCAACAACTTTTGAAATTTTTTGTATAGGCTGCAAGGTAAAACAAGATGACTTAGGCCTAAGTTGCACTGAACAAATTCTCAGGGATGTAATCTAAATCCTATCACGGATCCTATCTAAAATGCAAAAAAAATTCGATAATTGTTTCAAAATGGTGGCAAATTGTAATAGCACAATTAATCAATTAGTATTTAATTTTCCAACTTATTTAAGACTTGTATGCAAACTTCTATTTGTTTCTATTTATATTAAACATAAAGTTTGAAGATTTTTCTTGTTTCAGATCAAATGTCTTTACTTCCACGAATACCAGAGCAAAATGAAATGTTACCTCAATCAATACCCACAGAACGAGTAATCGTATCAGTCTCATCGGATGTACAGATTGGACAACAAGCAAACTTTTTTCAAAGAAATGCGACACTGATTGGGCAAGCAAATCGACCATCAATATGTAGTGTAGATGGTACGAACAGGATTATGTTATGTTTACTTTAATGATTTCATTGCAATTGGAAAGGAATGGAATCTTTCTGTTTCGGGAATGCCTACCCAATTTATAGGGTGCTGGTAGGCATGAAATTTTGAATCAGAATATCTCACCTACCGTTCTGCTCTCGTTAATAAATAAACCGAATTAGTGAGAATGGTTATTTCAATACATTGTACATGGTTTCATTTTAATTTATACATGAAATGTTTGTGAAATTTGTACTACCGGTAATTATTTTGCATTTGGTACTTTTTGTTTTTGTTCACTAAATTGATTGCAGATCGAAATTTGGGTCTTAGGTTTAATTTTAGTAGTTTTTGAATAATTCTTTGGTTTGCTTTTCCTATTTCAGTTTCCACTTTTCGACCTTCTTTGACACTACCTGTGAAAAACACTGATGTATTATGGAGAATTCGTCGTATTGATAATGTTAGATATCATGAATGCCTGGTTTGCAATAAGGTAACTTTCAATTTTAAATTCATATTATTAAATCATTAATAGCATCGCAGTATTTTATTGTAGTCGTATTATATTAATACATCTGTAATCTGAAAGTAAGTCTGAAATCAAGCCTAATAATATTTTACAAAATTCTCTTCGCAGGGACTATTGGCCAGCCTTGCTATTTTTATTTACTGCGTGAAGTAGTGACTATTTGAAATCTCTAAGGGAAAATTGCTCTTCTTGTTTAACCACAGATTTTAAGATCCTATCCAATCATGTTAATTTGCTGGAGCATTGAAAGACCTACCTGTATATATACATATTCTTTGGTCAGGATTGTTAACAGCAGATGATGATGTCGCTTTCCTAATTGTTGATCCATTTCAATGTCTTTTGTTTTTGTTTAAGATAGCCTTGGACCTAATTTTATTGCACACAAAAATGCTACATTTGTGGCAATAACTCTAAATGTTTTGATTAGGTTATAGAGTAAAACAAAATGAATTTTATTGCAGAGACTTGTATTTCAGTTTTCATTTACTTTTTTTCTTCTATGTTTATTCTACACTTGCCAAAATTGGTAGATGTAACGATCTCGTACAGAATTTGATTTTGCTAGAAAAAGCCAAATTGGAACATCATTCATACACTGCTCTAGTATAATTTGGTTTGCTTTTTATGTTTTTTTATCAGGTTTTCAAGAAGCCAAGTGATTTAGCTCGTCATATTCGGATTCATACATTGGAACGTCCTTACAAATGTAACGTTTGTTCTCGAGCTTTCACTGTGAAATCATCATTACGTTCTCACACAAGAACTCATCTAGGCATCAAACCGTATAGATGCCAGGTAAAAATTAAAGATTTTATTCATTTTTGGAAATCGATCCGAATAACTGTTTTACTACTGTATTCCCATACCTGACATGGAATGGTAACAGGACGAGAGGCTGTTGTTTACTATATGATTGAATTTTTGTGTGGTCTTTCCACTCGCCATCATATTGTCTGTCTTTTATTTGTCAACCATGTTATATTTTTACTAATAAACTTTAATCTATCTACTAGGTTTTCACTGATTTTATCGTTGACTACAATTCAAATCCATTGATTTATTGCATAAATTTATAAGCGAACTACTATCTCAAGGATATCCAAAAAAACACTAATTTTAAGACTTCAGAAAATCACAGTTACTATTTTTTTGAATGTGGGATTGATTTACCATTCTAGCAGTGAAAATGATCTTGGCTTATGCTTGCTTATCTAATTATATGGGAACAAGTTAACAAAAAGTCATAGTTAACTATCTTAATCCGAGTATTATAAGTTTTAGATTTTCTTTTCTTCTTAGGTTTGTCAAAAATCATTTTCAACTGGCGGAAGTTTGAAAGTGCACATGAGGAATCACACAGGAGCTAAACCTTTTCCATGTTCAATCTGCAACAAATCATTTCGAACAACTGGTCACAGAGCAGCACATTTACTTTGTCACAATAAAAAGAAATCTTCGATAAATAGTAAAAATAAGAAGTAAGAAATAACTATGAATTAATAATAACAAACAAATGAATCCCTAAATAACGATTAGACTATTTTTACTTCACTTCAATACTCCAACTTAACTTTGTGTTATTTTCGATGACTTTCATTCATGCATACATTTCAGGTTTTTGTAGAGTTTACACACATGTATGTCATCTCTGATTTAAGGCAACTTTGTTATTTTTACACTCACGATTAAAGTATATAGAGATTGCTTTTGAGTTCTCAGTGTTTCTGTTTCTTTACAGCCAGCTACTCAATTTGTACAATGTCAAATTATTATCACCTTTGGTCGTCAAATCCACAGGTGAAGTTGAGTATCATACACCAAAAGGTAATGTTGTGAAAATTGTAAAATATTCTTGATTTTCAACGTCGCTTAATGAAGTACCTGAATTACTTACTATAATACAGGGTTTTCGTAAAGTCCAGATATTAGGTAAAAGAATTTTGATTTGCTTTGTGTTACTAATGTTATGACATATAGAGGTGTATTAAATGGAACAATCAATTAAAAAAAAAAACACTGATTGGAATAAAACTGACCTGGTTGGGATATATTGATAACTGACTTCATAACATCAAATCAAATTTATAACATGCCTATCTTTCTGTCTTGTATCGTCAATTCATTGCTTCAATGGAGTCGTTAATTTTGGATTGTAAAATTTAAATTCATTTAGAGAATGAATCCAACCATTTGAACAATCTGAATGAACGTCCACACAACTGCACATACTGTAACAAAGCTTTCAAGAAATCATCACATCTTAAGCAACATCTCAGATCACATACGGGTAATAAAATTGTTCTCCTATTTAATAATTAATAGGAAACAAGTTATGGTCTTAGTGAGCCACCCTGCAACAGTCCAGATTTCTGCAACCCATGTAGGCCTACTCTAATCATCAGTGCGACGGCAAGTATTTTCCTCATGCTTAGCATGTTGCGTCTAATCCCAGAACAACAGCAGTAAAGTACTAGATTGATATATGTTAAAACTAATGCTGGAAGAAACTGTTAGTTAAATTCCCATTTGTCTGGGCATAAACTAATGCAGGCATAATAAAATGCTTACCGTTAGTTATTGTACAAAAACCAAGTTATGTTTTTTAGGTGAAAGACCGTTTACCTGCAACATTTGCCAAAAGTCATTTGTTACCAGTGGAGTATTGAGATCACATATGAAAATACACTCTGGTAAGACGACATCTACTTTGATAAAGAATGTGTTTATATTTGTGCTAACTGGCTTAACTAGAAGAATTCCAGTATAAGTGGCTTCTCATACAGACATACATACTAATTATAAAAAAGCTTGGATCACTATAAGTAATTTTATCTTTTTCTTGCAGGTGTCAATGATTTTGCCTGCAATATTTGTCAAGAAAGATTTACTACGAAAGGGTCTTTGAATCGCCATGCTTTGAAGCACTCTAGTGACAGACCGTTTGTTTGTCCGTACTGCAGGAAAACTTTCAAATCTCTGATCAATTGCAAGAAACATATTAAAACACACAGAAACGAGGTTGCAGTGATGGTATGTCATTTTGCTTTGATTTTATTCTCAATACAGGATATTTTGAACAATAAACAGGAATCATGACTTATTTTTTTGTTTTAACAGCAAACTGGCAGCAATACAAATCCTCAAATGAGCATGGATTCAGATACACAAAATCTAAATTCATCATTAACTGATGAAAACTCAATATCAGGTTAGTAACAATACAATCAATGATATTCAAACTGTTTTTCCATAAAGTAGGGGTTGAACTCTCACTCTATTGTTTATTTTTTTTTATCTAGGAATGCAGAATATTGATGACACATTAACTGCTGGTTCATTTCTGAATGCATTACAAGATCAGCATTCGGATGCAGGATTGAAACAGGTTAGAATGGTTATAAAGAATTTGTGTTTACTTTTGAAAAATTAGCAGTTTTGTACGTAATTTGATGTTTTTGCAGTTCTTGGAATAAGGCTGCTTGAAACTGCCTACAAGGTTACAAACATGTAATGCCTACATAGTTAATTTTTTATCATTGTTTGTTCATATTTTTTTTGAGTAAAAAATGTAGATATTTCTTTTCTTTTACCAGATTGATCCTAATATGGTTCAGAACTTCGATACTCTGTCATCAACAGTTAACCTCGCTTCTATACAAACAACTCCTCAAGTGTCCTACATTTTTACCTCACCATCTCATCAAGGTGTACAAACTAACTTAGGTTCATCGACACAACCTCAATTGTCTCTCGAAGAATTAGCAAGTCTTTCAATACCGAATGAAACTAATTCTCTCCTAACGAGTCAAGATCAAGTCCATACACAACCTGAACTTTCTTTATTCAATTTTGATATGTCTTCTCCGAATCCGTCAAACTCAATGAGTCAGCAAATGTTTACAGATAATTTGGATCTGTTAGATAGTGTGAACTCGATTAACCCCGTCTCCATGTCGCAAGACACGAATACGACTGTCTCTCAAACTATACCGAATAAACTTACCCCGGATGTGCCAGATGGGACCCAACCGCAAGTAAAAACGAAAAGAGTTCTTCGTAAAGCAAGTTTGAAGAAAATTTCTTACAAAGATCCAGAAAGGATTTCTCGTTACAAACCAAAACCAATCAGATCTCGTCCACCAACACCAGAGGATGCAAGTCATGATTCTACAAATACAGGAGAAATCAGAGGGTCAGTTTATTTTATTTCTTCGGGGCGTGATATCCTAATTGTTGGAGCTTTCTACCAACTTTGTTATAATCGCAGGAATAAAAATTTCATGAATCATTTCTCCCTGCAAAGTAAATAAATAGAGTAGGAAATGCAAAATTGAAAAGATTCTGGCACTTCCAAAAATTTCAGAGGACAAATAATTATTGACATTCACTAGAGAACTTTGTATGAATTAATTTGGATTCCAGTGATTGGAGTTAAAAATGCAAAAAAGCTAATGTTACTTTTTTGTGATTGAATTTTTTAGTTCCACAGTTAAAAGGAGTTAATTACTGCCTATTTTTTTTTTATCTTTTTGGGTTTCATGCAATCAATCTGAGGATTATTCAAATGGAGTATTCTTTAATATTTCAAAATTGAAAAGGCTCAATTAATTACTATTACTAATTAATTAATTAAAATTCAAAAAAATTAATTATGAGTGTATCAGAATATTTGATCCGTCATGGACAGCCCTGTTTACTTGGTTCTAAATTTTTGAGAATTCCCTGTTGGAATGTACTATATACAGATTATAATTTAAACTGATAATTATTCAGAATTTTTTTTTTAGAAAATCATTTGGAGGAAAATTAATTTCAATTGGAGAGAAGGATATGATTCAATGTACGGTGAGTAAAATATAAAATCTACATGTTCGATTCTTCTATGACTGTATGGAGCAAAATCTCATATACTGATTGTTTTATATCTTCATTTTTTTTTTCAGGGTTGCGAGGCTGTTTATAATGAAGACGAGTTTGAAAAACATTCAAAAAGTTTCAAATCGAAAAAAAGAGATCTTCCATTTCTTTGTGATTTTTGTTGCCATCGATTCAAAACTAAATCACATTATGAAAGTCATGTCAAATTTCATTCTGCTGATTCAGGGATTTTCAAATGTTCCGTAAGTCTGTAAGAAATTCTTTAAACAAAAAAAATAATTCTGATAAGCCACGCATATGTAACGAAATATCGTTATGTTATAACTTCTTGTTTTTGGAAAAGTTGTGTTTGCTGCTATATTTGTGAGATACACAACAGATGATATTTGATGAAATTTTTGTGTATTTTTAGAAATGTGGAATTGGTTTTACTGATAAATCAATTCAGGAAGAACATTCGAAATTTCATGAACAGGAGTTGCATGGGTAAGAATATGATTTTTTATATTTTCATATTATACCCGAGTTGTTAGACTGAACTGGACGGTTATACTGGCAGCTTATAGAGTTTCTGCATTCAATCCCTATTCCTACCATCTCACCTAGCATACAATTCGTTGGAAATTGGGCAGGCAATGTAATATCGAAAAGATACCAGTTTTTCTCAAAATAGAATTTCTTTGTGTGTAAATGGTTGCCAGCCTAAAGCATTGTTCAGAATAGAAGTGTGTTAACACCTTGTCAACTAATTAAGTATGAGGGTCTAAGATCAAGTGAGTTTTGTTCATCAGCTGTTCGTATACATCAAGCAGCCCACCCAATTTAATACACTCAAACTTGTAACTATTTTGCTTAAAATGGAAATGAATAGAAAAATTCAGTTGTGAATGAGATAATTTGCTATTTTTTAGAATGTTGTTACCCAGTACGAGAAAGCAAGTCAGTGCAAATGTTGATTCGCCTGGGATTCCTCATGCTCAGAAAAGCGGGTATGTACATACTACAAAAATTGTTTTTCTTAATATTCACAAGAACTTTAGTCAATACATTGTGGTTTGCGCGTCGAGGTTACCATCTTGCATGTTTGGAGCACTTCATAATCGGCATTTTTAATCCTTTTTCAGGGGCGAAATGCAATTTCTATATTTAATCTCGTATTTCTTTTGCAGGAGATTCAACTTTTTTCGACTCACTGATGAGCAGAATAAAATATTATCTCAGACAAATCCAAACCTTCATATGACTGTATCTGAAAGAGTACTTCTTTCCGCAGTTGCAGAAAAAGATAGGGTAGATATTCGTTTTACATAACTTTAAAATCGCATTTTTAAAACGCATTATATAGACGAAAAAAACAAAAAATCAAAGTTTGATATTGGAACACATAAACATCGTCTATGAATTTGAAAGTGATGAGAGAAATTTGCAATAAAACTTAATGTTGTCATTAAGCGAAGTCCAGCGTAATGTGTTCGTAACTGTTCCTCCTGTTTTTTAATATTCGAAGCTGCAAAATTGGTACTCCCGTAGTGTGTGTACCGGGTTAGGGTTAGGCCATAATTTCATTTCGATTTTCCTTATTTTAGTTCTATTACGACTTACGAGTTCGGGGCTGTCCGTGTTAACCAAGTGAAGATACGCCCTCCTCATAGGTTTCAGTACCTTTACACAACTTGATGTGAAATAGGTGAACAAAATTAGTTACATCTATATTGGTACACACACTTCTAGAGCGCCGAAAAATTTGTATTGAATAACAATTTTTGTTTACGTTAATTATTGATTTCTATACTTGACAGGTTGTTGAAACTGTTGTTGGTAAACGAGGTCGACACAAAGCTCTGGAAATGAATGGTCCTAAGTTCAACAATGTTTGTCCACATTGTCCAAAAAGTTTTCAAAAACAAAACGATCTTGTACGACATATAAGAACTCACACTGGTGAACGTCCTTTCAGGTGCAAACATTGTGGAAAAAGGTATGTTCAATGTTCATGCATAAATAAGTTCACAGTTTTGAATTCTTTTCCAAGAAATATATCACAAATTCTGAGTTATTTTGACAAATTTAGTTGGTGGTGAGTTAGTTAGTGGTGAGATATTGTTTTTTCACTGCGCTTATTCACGCCTCATAAATCAGCCACTGATATCAGTATGTAAAAAGCTGCTATTATTTGGAAGGACCAGGATCTTAAGGTTTGGCATTGTTTATCCAATTTGTTACGCCTTGGGTTTAGGGGCAAGGCATTCGAACCTGAGGTTGTTTAGTTGTGTAATCTACGATGCCAACACAGTTAGGTCTAGCGCTTCAACCGCCAGACCATGAACTAAATAACTGATTTTCTGTATTTTTCTTTCCAGTTTTTCAATCAAGTCCTATTTATTCTCTCATGAAAAGACACACAGCGGAATCAAATCATTCCGATGTCATATTTGTAACCTTATGTATTCAACAAAGACTAGTTTGAAGGTTTGTCTCAATTTATCAGAAGTTTGAATTTTTGTTCTTTTTTTCATAATTACTATTCAAATTAAAACCTGTTTTTGATCGACTTGACTTACTCTGTATTTCGTGGAGTACATTATATTTAGATACTTTCCTTATTAACATTGAGATATATAAATTAGATGTTTCCATTCCATTCCTTCTATAAGTCTTTTTTACTTGTACTTGAAAATTAAAACTGTTTGTTTTTTCAATTGAAGATTCTATATTTTATTTACCAGGTTCATATGAGATTACACACTGGTGGACTTCCATACAAATGCCCACATTGTCCATCACAATTTCGGACATCAGGACATAGAAAAAGTCACATTATGTCACATTTTCAAGAAACTGGTATGTTCTCTGTTTACATGGTAAAAGTAGTTAAAGTGTTAGACTTAACTATGATGCCATTGCAGGTTAAAATCTCTGATTAAAATCCCATGCCCTTCACAGAAGGTGTAATGGATTGGGCAGGCAATGTCATACCGGAAAATATTCCAGTTCTTCCAAAATATAGTAGCTCCTTAGTCCTTACCTGCCTGTTTCGGGCTAAAGAGAAAATATAAATATGTTGTATAAAAATTTCTTTTTTCGTTAAGATACTGTGGCAGTGTTTTATTTTGTTGCTGTTTATTTCATATAAGCACCTAATCAAATAGAAACTAATGTTGAAAAGTATAGTTTACCCTTAACCCTTTCCATGCGATTTTTATTTTTTATTAAATAATCCTATTTGCTACGCCGATTTTATGCATTTGTACCCCCACAACTAATCGATCGACTAACGAAAAACTAATGATCCTCTGCTGCCCACTGACGGCTCGTTGGAAAGCTTATTTAAAGAGCTTGCAATTGGCGATTAAAAAAAAAGATTTTTCAAAAGTGGTGGTCTGAGTTACAAACCGGATAGGAAAAAGGCATTTTTTTTTTCTTGGGAGTTGAATCTTCAAACCGTTATAAAAAATAGAAATATTCGCTAAATCCTTTACTGTTACCGCTTCGTGGTTGGCAAACAATAGCATAATGTTGCTGTAGCAATTTCGTGATCTAACTCATAATACTTTGGTAGATGGAAGGGATAATATGTCTTCTATTACCACCCAAAAAACACTGAAATTTGCATAAATTTCAATAACACTCCCTCGTTCGCTTATGTTAATCTCGAAGAAGACTTCTTATCAATAAAATAAAACCCAGAAAAACTAGACCAACAGTTTGCGACCCATGGCTAAATAAAACAATGGGTAACTTAAAAAACCCGCCGCGATCTAGCGAGTTTTATCGTTGGTACGTATACGTGCCCACCGCACGGTAAGGGTTAAGTAGATTTGATGAATTAAAATTACTTGACAAATCTTAGCCCAAGCAAGGATCTTCGTCATTATTGAGCAAAATAATGAAAATATCAATAGCAAATCATTCATCAACAGAACAAGTCTTGAAACAAAATTTAAATCCTTTTCATTTTTCAGTCCCCAAGCGTGGAAAAGGGAAAACTAAAAACAAGTCTAAGAACAATATTTCTCAGCAAACCAAACAACAAGTACAACAACCTACAGTAACAGATGTAACTCTTACATTACAAGAAGGAATGTTGAACTCTGAATTATTACAGGTATTCAATTAACATGAACTAGTTATGAATGTTTGTTTCCCAGGTTTCATGAAACCTAACCTGATTTATTTGAAAAACAACTCCGGCTTCTGATTTACACAAGCCTCCAGGCTGAAAGACATTTTACTCTTGATTACAGCTTCGCACAATCAAAAGCAATCAAATTTTGATTACAAAAATTTTGGCAACAAATTCTTTGTCTGTTGAGAATGTTCAGTCAACCTGTTGATTCTCAAATTTCTGTTTGAAATTTTGAACTTAGTTATGACCATTAGAAGACTGTAATTTCGGCATTCGGTTCCGACTCCAAAGAATTCAAAAGTCTGACATTCGAATTCCTATGCTATGAAAACATACTTCTGACTCCCAACTCCCGACTAACTATTATTTAAATTCAAATTCAGAGTGACAATATTCAGTTACAATGGAACGGACAAAATTTACAACTAGTTAACACATCAGGAACACCTACTGATAATTTATCACTTCAACTTGATGCAGTCGCATTACAACAGTTGATTAACAACCAACCACCTACAACTCCATCTCAAGATGTTATAAGGTAGTAACTACTTTCTTACCTATGTTGAAAATTAATGTTGTTAACCATTTCATATTAATAAGTTCTGGATGCGAAGTGTTAATAAACTATGGATTCATATTTTACAGATTTTCTGGTCTCCCAAATATGTTTTTTAATAGAAATCGCAATAAAAGTGAAGCTTTGCCACTGCACCTCTAGGTACCCCATAGGGTTGTTCACGTAAGTGCTGGACGATTTCGTCTCCCTCTACCATCAAGTCCATGCTTCCGAAACAAATAACTGGCTAACTAATCCCATACCCGACATGGACTGACGAGAGGTTCGCCGTATGATTAAGCAATCCTATTGGCTTTCCTCTTCCCCAGAATGAATATGTAAATCCTATCCTAAATCCTAGTTTAAGCCATTAATAATACATTTGCAAATTTGTTCTTGTATGATGCTTTTTCACTCCAAATAAGACCCTGTATGCAAGGACCCAAGTCATCGCTTATGACTTTCTCATTAATGGTATTTATATGATTTATCTTTCAGAAACTACACTCAGCCAGTTACTTCTGGTCCTGCACCCAACCTTGTGATACAGCCCATCACCATATCTGATAATTCGAGTGGACATGGTGAACAGCTGCTACAAGAAGTCAATGTTGCTGTACCTGCTAGTCTTGCTCCTTTTACTCAAATTGTAAGTTTTCTTTTCCTTCTTTGACATGGCACACCATTTGGATTTCTAAAAATATATTTCTTCTCTACAGTTGTTTCAGTCTCCTACCACAGTGAATACAGAAAACACTATCAGTGCAAATAACAGTATTGCTATGCTGCAGGTACTGTAATATTACGATGTATTAGTTTATCAGCCTCAATCTTTTTATTTTTAAACCGACACCTGTCTCAACCTTTTTCTATTGTAACCTTATGCTAAACTTTCACTCTACATTGTTGATAAATTAACTCAGCATTGAAACATCAGTGTCCCACGTTTTACTTGGATCAGTCTTTCTACTTCTATTTAAAAGCTTGCTTTTAGCACCAAAAGCAGATCTTTGAGTACTGAAAAGGCCTCCCACTCTCTTTTCTTCAAATTTTCTCAACTTTCATTGATCTATGTTCAGACGTTGCAACAGATGTTAAACACTTCTCCAGCACAAACTACAACTTTTAATTCAAGAACACCTACAATGAAATCTATGAAACAAACCAACAAATCGCCAGATGTTACTCTTGTCTTAAATCCAAATAATCAGGTAAAGGATACGTTTTTTCGTTACTTATCAGAATTTATGAATAAAAGGAGGTAAATGAGTAGAAGCCACGCATGGCAATAAAAAGATGGAGGAGTCACTTGTGAAGAGCGAATTCTTGCTCTCTGGTGAAATGGTCATTACTGTCCAACCGTGGCAATCTTCACAAATTATCGCCATTCACTCCGGTTCTGAGCAACTGAGCCAGGCTAATGTCTTGCACGTTGTCTGACATTTTTGTTTTTGAGTGGATTACATTACGATTTATTGATATTTTGTTGTAGTTGATAGTTCATAAAAGTGAAGAATTTATTAAATGTGAATTTAGCAGGCGGGTATTGTGTTACAAAATTAATGACATGGTGTTAAAAGCTGTTAAAAAAAAACTGACATTGCCACAAATTTTTTAAACTTTTATTTCCAAACCCGCAAATCACTCTATTCCTCAATTTCAGGGCTTGGTAGCTGAAGACGGAATACAGACATTCACTTTTGATCAACTTCTTACATCAGATGATATTTCAGCAACCTCAAACCAACAGTTTTCTTTACTCAACGAAAATCAATTAACGGCCACATCAAATTAATTTTTCAGTGCTGTTTAAACCTGATAGAAATTTATCACAACTAGTGCAATTGCTCTTTCATTCTTTTTTTTTTTTTTACTGTGAACCAGATATTATTGCCATGTGCTGCCTCTCATCCACCAGTGCGTAGTACCCTTTTCTGAACGATTTTTTTTTCATGTTTTTTTAAGCAGTTAAAAATAAATTGTCCTCAAAATTCTTGCATTTAAACAACTGGCATTATAGGTTTGATAGAGTTCACAGCTAAATAACAGAGCGAAGATGTGAGTTCAGAAAATACTTTCAATGTCTCAGCCAACGCTTCTCAAACATTTTTTGCCCCGGAACATTTACGCTTTTTATCTCGCCCCGCGGAACATCAAGAAATCAGAAGGTAAAATTCATAATAAAAAAATGTGTGAATGAATCAACTTGCACAACCGGCTTACCACAACATATGTTCAGTTTTAAGCCAACAATCCATTGAGAAGTGTGGTTTCCAAAAAATTTACCTCCTGATCAAATTAAGGAGTTTTCTGTGAATTTGACAATTAAAAAATAGGCCAACAGTTAACGATATTCAACGTTTGACCAAGACCGGCACGAGGCTTGTTCGCCAATTGGTAGACAAATTTATGACCCGGTGGTGACCGGTATGGCCGAGTTCTCCATGGCGACCAATTTAGATCCCACAGTTTAAGAACTACAAGAAATTCCCTGCATAGCTTTACCGAGAGCGAATCCCCATCAACAAATGGAAAGATAATCGACAAACACTGAATTTTCCATGTTCAAAGGGCGACACAAATGCTGTTCCCAGCGATGGTAATGGCTGTCTGATCACAAACTGGCTTTATGGGAAGGACCTGTATGTAGCATTTCAGAACTATTCTAATTAATTTAAGTCTGTAATTGGTCCCATCAATTACACTGGAAACTCAAGCTAACAGAAGTTGGTATTGTTCACTACAAATAGATACAAAAACTCAAATCTTTCAAGTAGTTATTACTATTATCATGCAGTAGAAAAGCATGTATCGCAATCAGTGAATCAAAGTAAAAGAAATGTATCAGGAAGGTGCCTGTATCGTAACATTCGTAAGTATTTCTTGTATTATGTTGTGGTATATTCAACCTTAATCCACATTTAACTGTCTGCAACATTAATACAATCCAGTCTCATGTCAATTGTCAACTAGTTTATTAGTTTGTTTTCAAAATCAGTAATAATCAGATATAATTAAATGGTTCTAACACAGTTTGTGATATTAAAAATCATTTCATCAGTATTCTCTTTAAAAATGCTTCAATTTCATTTTCCGGTAAGTTTCCTTCAAAATTTGTAACTTTTTTGCCATCTTTGATCCCAACAACTGTTGGCACAACGCTCACCTGAAAGAAAAATTGTACATCAAATATTAGAAGAAAAAAATGATCAAATACCAAAGGAAAAGAAAGATTACACATCAAATATCAGAAGACTTTGTATCAAAACAGCAATAGCATTCCACAATAACACTCCATGATCCAAATTAATACAGAATGATAGCACTGCCTGCATTCAACATAACCATTACAGAATGTATAGAATTTCATGAGCATAACCCTCTATCAAAAAATGAGGGCAAGCAATAATGACATAAAAAGAGTGGTAGCTTGCTATATGTTACAATTAGTGCCACATTCACACAAACCCAAAGAACAACATACATTGTATTTCATAGCAATTTCTGAAAGCTCATCTATATCAACTTTTGCTAAAAGAATTTTTCCATCATGTTCATCAACTGCTTTTTCTAATTTTGGTCCCAACAATCGACAAGGTCCACACCAGCTGTAATGATAGATAGCTAGCAATGAAATATGCGAAAATAAATATTAAATTTCCTAATATTAGCACTTTTTTGGGCCTTGAAGGGACATTGTGAGCTCAAATATCATTTTTTTCAATGGCCCCAATCACAACATGATTCCAAAAACACCAGTGTTTAAAAGAACTTAGATTAAAAAAACAAAAGATAGTTATGAAATATGATGACAACCATATAGGATGATTATCGAATAAAATGTGTGGGAAATTCGTACTTGCACTCTGCATGCTTATTTCAAGATAGTGAAAAATCCTGAACCCTTTCAGGAGTCTGAGAAAACATAATGCTCACCTAAACTACAAAAGCTTGGCAGGAACGAATAAAAATAGCATGTAAAGTCTTTGCAACCACTTAAAAACCCTTAGTCCCAGGCACTTACTCTGCATGAAAATCAACAACAACAGGGGTGGTTGATTTCAAAACTTTTTCTTTAAAATCATCTTCATCTTGAATATTAAAATTTGTCGACATTTTTTCTTGTGACACTGACAATAATCTTGATGTGTGAATGTTCCTAGTGATGGGTATACTGACATTTGACGTTAACGTTGATTGTGTGAGAATCTGCCTTTTGCATTCAGCTGAATAATCAAAGATTTAAATATCGAGTGTTGATTAAATAACAAGGTTGCAGGTATATATAAAATCAAAGCAAATTTTTAACATTAGACTGACTTGGAAATTTTAAATTGCATAAAAGATAAAGGATGTATTCTGTGATGTCATAATGGGGCTATCCGAGTGGTTTGTATGCACAAACAGTAATAATGAAATGTACAAAACTACTAGTGTTACAGAATAATGTATTATGATATGCTTCTCAAAATTTTTATATAGCATCTAAGTCTCCTACATTTTTCCTGCTTCGATTATAGAAAAGTGTTCTATTGAATTTTAGCTATTGTTTCTAGTCTGAAAACTTGTTTTCCCTGGGTTTAGCTCTCGATATTTTAGTCAATCTAGTGTTCTAATTGGATTCAGGTTTGGCGCTCACCTTGTGGTAATTGAGAGCTAGAGATGCATATCCTATGTAATCTTCTTGCACAAGTTCGCAAAGCAGCCATTTTCTTTTTCCTATTGTTTCTACTTTATACTATTATATATTATCTGCCAAAACAGAGCAGAGAAACATTAATAACAGAATGATGTGTAATTGCGTACCAAAAATTGCGAGGCAATTCAATCAATAGAAAAAATAACACCAAATGTTATGAAATGTTTAAGCAGTCAATTTTACCAAAAAAATCTACAAAATGTCCACAATTAATTCCAAATCAGGTCACTTGAACATCTTTACACTGAGGAATGAAATGAACAAATTAAAAACAAATGTACTGCACAGTGGAACTTTTAAAGAACGGCAGATTAAGGCAGTCACAGCTTTAAAAAAATAAAAAAGTAAAACATGATAACGAAAGAAATATGAAACACAATGAATAACCTGTGAAGTAGAATTGTGCATTAATAAAAGAACAAAAAAATTCAGTGAGAAACTTATAAAGAAACAGTGTCAAGTTTATAAAACACCAAATATTTACAATATTATTTACAAACAAATCAGGGCATGCCTTGTACTGGCATAAAAAGTGAATATTGTCCTTCTTGCCGATTTTGAGGAGTGTAAACCAACTGCTGTGAATGTTGCATATTAACAGTTCCAGTGGCAGGAATCGCCATCTGATTGTAATACACCTGGCCTTGATTTTGATTTGGAAAAAATTGCGGTGCATTATGATTCATCCTTTGTTGTGCCAATGGCATTAATCTCCACTGCCGCGGCCCAATAGGTAATTGCACTTGACTACCTTGACTGATTGCATTTTGGGACTGAGGAGACATAAATGGGATATTTTCTGCCATAGGCTGCGTAAATGATTCTCGCATCGTTTGAGGAATGAATATTCTTGACGGTAAATGTTCGTTTCCATCTACTACCACTTGATTTGATACTTGCGTACTTCTCCAATTCGTACTTCCAGACGATCCATGAATTAAAGGGGGTAGTTGTTCATTAGCCAAGTTGAAAGTAGTGAAATCAACAACATCATGAGAAAGATGAGCGCCAGAGATTTCAGAAAAATCAGTATCAAGATTAGTTTTCACGGCCTCTTGCTGTTTCATAAACGGCACTACTTCAGCCACTCTTGTTAAGTCTGATTTCGAGCATATTTGTGAAGATTCTGTAAGTAGGTTTTCACTTTTCTTTTCTACTGTGACAGCATGAGAGGTGTATTGACTGACCATTGCATCATGAACTGCACTTTGTTGTGCCTGCGTTTCAATTTCCTTCGGTAAAGTACACGATAACTGCTTGATTTTTCCTTTAATTACAAATAACTTTTCCTCAATATCGGTAGTTTGGTCCACTACACTAGCACTGGATTGATTTGCAAGTTGTTCAAGTAAATTTTTCCGCATATTGAATAATTCTTCTTTTTCGTGTTCAAGTTTACTTAATTCAAGGTTACCTGCTTGAGCGACAGAAATTAACTCTGGGCAATCATCCTCATCATCTGAAATCCAATATCTAGAATCTGGATCAAACGCTATCAATATCTTTTTCACTCCATCGATAAGATCCTTTTCTTGTGCATGACCAATTCCTTTGATGATTGCAGGTACATCTTGCAAACGATAAAGAAATACAATACTTGTATATGTATAGTGCCTGATGGTGCCAGGAACATTTTTTTCTCTCATTTCAATAAAAAGTTGAGAATGCTTTTCATCGTCGGCAATAGCGAGCTCAATAAATCTAAGGTTTCTCATCAACAGCAAAGGCACGAGATCATCGCCAGATGGTTGGAAAAATAATGAGATATCTGCACTTGTGACCATCGGATTTCCTTCATAATTAATAACGTTTATTGAATATTGACCCTCAATAATTGAAAACAGACGAACAAATCTTATTTGTGGTTGAGCAACAGGTTTGTAGCTTTCGTCAATATCATTTCCAACTTCATTCTTAGAAGCAATATCAGGACTTGGATCCAAATTGTCTGAAGGTTGGCTAGTAATGGATTGAGTACTGCAAGGCCAACTAGGTCCCTTGTTTCCAACCTCATTTTGTTGTTGTAAAAAGCTCTTCAAAGTACTAGCAGCTTCTTTGGGCAAATCGTCGGGAAAATATACAGCATGTTTTTTTTCCACCAAGGTGTCATTGATATGTAAATCTGTATCTGGATTTGTTGTGTCACAAAGGCAAAGAGAGAGAACACGATTTTCAATACTGGTTATCATTGCAACAAGTGGACGATCGCGACACATATCAAGCATACAGTTTCTGGAGTCTAGAGTCCATGATTTCAAATTTGCTGGCTGAATATGTGCCAGTCGAGCTTTAATCATTTGAGAAGGCAATTGTAAAAAGCATGATTTCAAAAGTCGTAGAGAAGCAATAGGCACAGCAGATATGCTTCCATAATCAACGTATAGCACATCAGCATACGATGCTTTATTGATTCGAACAATCACAGCTCGATGCCAATTCATATCTTCCATGAAAACCGCAGCGCAAAGTTGACCGATCGTGATCATACATTCAGGAATCTTATATCTATCGCCTTCTGGAGAGCAATAAAACCTTTCCAGTTCATCCATAAGCATATTGAGAGCACCAGTAGTCTGTTTACTGCAAATTTGAACCATAAAATATTCTGGATTGGTAACATCAGACACAAACAAATCTATATATTGGGCGTCTTTAGATGGAAGGGTTGGTAATTTATATGAAGCATTTGGTCCTATAGCATCAAGAGGAATATCATTCTCTGGCAAGTTAGGTGAGATATACCCTCCGTGAATTGCTTTTTTCTCATCTTCTGTGAGAGTTACGTATATTTTTCCATCTTTTTCATAGATGCAGACACCTCTTATCATGACAACGAATTCGAGGGAATTTGAAATATTGTATTCATCCAGATGTAACGTATGTCGAAACGTCTTTTCATAAATTTCAGATAATCGATCAAGCAGAATTCCATCTTTTGATTTGATGAGCATCTCCTTTACTTCCATTTTTAAAACTTCCAATCCTTCATTGTAAAAGCTGCCACACAACAATTTACTTTGGTCTATTTCATCTACGTTTCTTTTTGCAAGCAACCAATCACCTTTTGGATTGGGACGTGTAATGCTGACTTCATCACTCAATGTTGAGAGCAATTCAATGATGCTGAAATATCCAACTTTTTGAATTTGCAATTCTTTGCCAAACTTTTTTTTGTATAACACAGGTACTCGCACTGCCCATACACCCTTTGGTTCTTCAGCTAAAATTTCCAAAATTTCACTCCTCAACAACTTGCATGATGGTATGACCGAATTACTGAAAATTTTGTCTTCAACTGGAGGATTGAGTTCGGATTTGATAACGGCAATCGCAGGTTTCTCCTCATTAACACAAACTGATTCTTCAGAATTTAATACAGAGTTCTTTCTGCTAGCCGGCTTTTCAACGCTAGGAGATTTAGAATCACCACCAGAAACTTTGGTTTTTGTCTTACTTATTGCGGGCCCTTGTTGCAATTTCGGAGGATACACATACAAAGTATTACCAGTCTTGTCCCTTCGTCCATATTCTAGTTTGCACACATCTGGCATGGATAAAAAAATATCTGGCAGACGCTTAAAACCAAGTCGCTCAGGATTCAATGTGACGCCATTCTCTTGCTTGTAAACATCTAGAAACACAGACATAGGAACTCCATTTACATTGGACTGGACAACATTGTACACATTTCTACGTATTTGTGCGCTCACATAACAAACTCCTCTAGCTTGTCTAGCACCAAAAGGTCCACTTTTCGGACGTCTTGAAGGCTGATTTACTTTAGCAAGTCCCATATAACGAGATGTTTTTCGTTGATGATCCACCATACTTTTTATATGCTTCGTCTTTTCATCTGCAATTCCATACAAAACCAGCTCTCTGTTGCGATAATCAATCTTGACGACATCACTCAAGGTCTTTACGAAGGATAACAAATCAGTGTGGCCGAATTTTCGATAGGGAAGTCCCTGGTTTTCAACCAATTGATAATCTCTTTCCAACTGATTCAATGTTAACCCAGATGGTGAGGATATAAGAAGTGATCGGATGACTTTTATCACAGATTCCTTTCTCCTGACTACATCTGACATTTTTATGTTTGTGTCACAGATTAAATATTAAAATTATTTAACAGTGTGGAAACATCGAATCTAGCTTACCAATGAAAAAATAAATAAACAGTTATTTACTATATCTATCAAATGCATAGCAAGCAACGTCTCAGTTGGCCATAGTCATTTTAAAAAAAAAGGTTCATGAGATTTGTAGTAGGTAGCTTATTTTTTTATTGTAAAGATAATATGGTGAACATGACTATATTCAGATATTGCAACGTGCCGATAACCAATCCATGCTGGAATAACACTGATATAGGTGCACAATCTGTCACTTGCTTCGAATTTGGACCGTCAGTGCAATAATATATTTTATGTATGTCTGACGCAAGTATGAATCGTTTATTTCCGCCTATGTACTCAGGATTATTTGTACCTGCATAGTTTTGCAAAACGGGTATTACACCCACGGATTTTTGTACTTAAATACTAAAATAACACCAAGGATATTTGCGCCCATGGAATTTCCACCCACTGGCCCACATGGACATTGCATCCATGTCTGCATGTATTTTGAGAACACCATAATTTTACCAATGAATTATTTTTTATTTTATTCCTACTTATATTTTGATCATGGTTTACCCGAGTTAATATTGAGGCACTTTGGCTTTAAAGTGAAAAATGAAATATGAATATGAAAAAATCTAGTACAGTAGTAAGGGACAACATAAGACATAATCTTATAACTAATAATAACAAATTGCGAACCTGTAATTAACTTAGATTTTCATCCAACTTTGTTTGTTCAAAAGATGAAGACACATAGCGACTGATAGACACCCTTTTAGGACATAACCATGCAAGTTAAGCACAAATATGGTGGTATTGACAAAAACGTTGCGCTGGTGGGTGTTTTGTTTTCTATTTTCTGGTATCTGGATTTTCATATGTCTCTGTGAAAATTATTGAAGATACTATTAGATAGTCGGAAGTGTTTAAATGTATTATATAGCTTTGGAAATATGGTATTTTCAATTTTTCACCCATTCATAGAAATGCCTCATTCTCACAATTTGATTTTTGTCTAACATTAGATAAAATTAAATTTGAGGAAATTATAATTAGCCCCACGCCCTTCTAATTTTTTCTCTTCTTTTCGCATTTTTTTTTACTATTAAAAAAAGTATGACCTGCGTAATCATGTGATGTTCTTTTTTCTTGTAATTTTTATTATTTGATTGATACCACCCTATATGCAAATTAAAACAGCATTTATTGGCGGATTATAATATGATGCAATACCGTGCAAATCTCAGTGTATGCTATCAAATCCATAAAATGGATAGGAATTAACCATTTTATATATGGATTTTCGTATGCCTCTGTGAGAATTATTGGAGATGCTATTATATATAGTCTGAAGTGTTTAAATGTATAATATAGCTTTGGAAATATATTTTTAATTTTTCACCCATTCATAAAAATTGCCTCATTGTCACGATTTGATTCTTGTAACATAGAGTAAAATTAATTTGAGGAAATTATAATTAGCTCTACGCCCTTCTTATCCTTCTGTCCTTTCTCTTTTTTTCGCATTTTTTATTACTATTAAAAAACATTATGATCTGCGTAATTATGTGATGTTACGGTACCTTTTCTTGTTCCTTGTAATTTTTATTCTTATTCCAGTACTTTTGGGGAATTGATTTCTGAGGCCTCCTAAACAGGTTTAGAACTCAAAAATTTACTTTTCCCCTATTGCAATTATGATGACTGCTTTAGAGTCCTGGTAAAATATCTCCTTAGGGGTGGGTCGACCTTGGAGGTCTTGCCCGTCCTCTTCCGTATATATTTTTATTCTTATTGTTGTTTAGACTACCGGTACTTATGCTTACTGTATTACCGGTACCGGTATGTACTGCCGTACTCGGAAATAAATCATTATCTATCTATCTTCTATCTAGTATCTGCGTTTAATGTCGCAGCACGCTCCATGTACAGGTTTATGCAAATAGTTACCGTAAGTCAAACGACATGCATATATTTGTGGACAGATTTAATACAGTGTAATGCCAGCGAGTACTAAACGAGTACGGTACCTACAAACGTTTCCGTTATCTTCGCATCCACGTAAGGTACATTTGCACCAGGTATATATGGGCTTTGATTTGCACCAGCGAACTGTCCCTGCACCGGGACGGACTAAAAGTAGGCACTTGCAAATTAGGCACTTTTTTAGGCACTTTGGAAAAAAAGGAAAAAGGGCGTAATACCTTTTTAAAACATAATTAATTATTTAAAAATGGTCAAATTAAATGTTGAAAACGCAAATTGCAACGGGCAAACTCAATAGCAATATTTAAAACGCAGTATTACAGGCAGTCGCACGCGCTTGGTCACCACATATGCTAGGCACATATTTAGGCACTTCGAAAAATAAAGAAAATGGCAATTATCACTAATGAAAGACAGAGACATAAACATATTACCCACACTGATCAGCCTGGGTAAATATCCAATAGATGCAATTGAGTCTAGTACTGGAATTTAGAAATAATAAATTGTTACCGGTAGGCACTTATTTAGGCACTTCGGAAAAAAGGTGGAATGGACGTAGTAACTCCTAAAAAGGTTATGAATTAGTTCAAAATATTTAAATTAAATGTTGAACGCGAAAATTGCAACAGTTAAATCCAATAACGATTTTTAAAACGTAGTAATAAAGGGAGACGCACGCGCTCTGTCACCACATATGCTAGGCACATATTTGGGCACTTCGAAAAATAAAGAAAATGGCAATTATCACTAATAAAAGACAGAGAAATAAAAATATTACCCACACTGATTAGCTTGGGTAAATATCCAATAGATGCAATTGAGTCTAGTACTGGGATTTAGAAATAATAAATTGTTACTGATAGGCACTTATTTGGGCACATCGATAAAAAGGTGAAATGGGCGTAATAACTTTTAAAATGATAATTAATTAGTTGAAAATTGTCAAATTAAATATTGAACACGCAAATTACAATGGGTGAACCGAATAACAAAATTTAAAACGTAGTATTAAAAGGAGTCACACGCGCTCGGTCACCACATATGCTGGGCACATATTTAGGCACTTCGAAAAAAGAAGAAAATCGGAATTATCACCAATAGAAGACAGAGAAATAAAAATATTACCCACACTGATTAGCCTGGGCAAATATCCAATAGATCCACTTGAGTCTAGTACTGGAATTTAGAAATAATAAATTGTTACCGGTAGGCACTTTTTTAGGCACTTCGAAAAAAAGGTGAAATGGACGTAGTAACTTCTAGAAAGATAATGAATTAGTTCAAAATATTTAACTTAAATGTTGAACGCAAAAATTGCAACAGTTAAACCCAATAATGATTTTTAAAACTTAGTACTAAAGGGAGACGCACGCGCTCTGTCACCACATATGCTAGGCACATATTTTGGTAACATCGAAAAAAAAAAAGATAAAAATATTAGTCAAAATGATTAGCCTGGGACTGAGTGAATATCCAATAGATGCACTTGAGTCTAGTAGTGGTATTTGAGAATAATAAATTGTTACCGGTATACACCTTTTACCGTGTTTCCCCGAAATTAAGACAGTGGCTTATTCCAAATTTCTTCCTAAAATTACCACTAGGGCTTACTTTTGGTGGATGTCTTATATTTTAATTTATCAAAAACAAAATTACAAAGTAAAGAATTAAAATATTTTCAAATATGCAAAATATAAAAACCGAAATCAATTTACTTATAAATAACACGTTTTTATTGAAAATATCTGTTAAACGTAGATTATCAGGTATTTAAAACGTGTAGGAGAGATTTCTTGCTATCCACTAGGTCAATTAATTCGCGTTATTGACTAGGTCTTACTTTAAAGGGAGGGCTTATATTATATATAATTCTTAAAATTCAGGCTAGGTCTTATTTTCAGGGTAGGTCTTATTTTCGGGGAAACACGATAGGCAGTTTGAAAAAAAAAATTAAAATGAGCGTAATAACTCTTTTGAAAACACAATTAATGAATTAGTTAAAAGTAGTCAAATTAAATGCTGCACACGCGAAGTGCAACAAGTAAAAACAATGATAATATTCAAAACGTAGTATTCGAAGGATCACCACATATGCTAGGTACCTATTAAGGCATTTCGAAAATAGAAAAAAATGTGAATTATCACCAATAAAAGGGCGAGAAATGAAAATATTAGTCACACTAATTAGCCTATGTGAATATGCGCTTCAGTTTATTAGTGCCATTTAAAAATTTTAAATTGTTACCGGTAGGTACCATCAATTAGGCACTTAGGAAAAAAGGTAACATGGGATTAATAACTTTCACAAAGATAATGAATTAGTTAAAAATAGTCAAAATTAAATGTTGAACCTGCAAAGTGCAACAGGTAAACCCAATAACAATCTTTTAAACGTAGTATTAATGGGAGTTGCACGATATTGGTCATACTAGTTAATCTTGCTAGCTCAGAGACGCCAGGGTTCAAAGAGTTCATTAATTAAAGCAGTGGTGATACGCAATTGTCTGGAAACAATATATGTCTCAAATCAATTGCAATGGACCTTTCCCCGACCTTTGACCCCCGAAAGAATCTTCCTATACTGTACCATTATCATTTTAAAAGTTATTACGCCCATTTTACGCATTTTTAGAAGTGTCTAAATAAGTGACTAAAAAGTGCCTACCGGTAACAATTTATTATTCTCAAATATCACTACTAGACTCAAGTGCATTCATTGGATATTCAAATAGGCTAATTATTTTGACTAATATTTTTATTTTCTGTATTTTTATTCATGATAATTACCATTTTCTTTATATTTCGAAGTGTCTAAATATGTGCCTAGCATATGTGGTGACAGAGCGCGTGCGTCTCCCTTCAATACTACGTTTTAAAAATCGTTATTAGGTTTAACTGTTGCAATTTTCGCGTTCAACATTTAATTTAAATATTTTTGAACTAATTCATTATCTTTCTAGGAGTTACGACGTCCATTTCACCTTTTTTTCGATGTGCCTAAATAAGTGCCTAAAAAAGTGCCTACCGGTAACAATTTATTATTTCCAAATTCCAGTACTAGACTCAAGTGCATATCTTAGATATTTACTCAGGCTAATCAGTGTGGGTAATATGTTTATTTCTCTGTCTTTTATTAGTGAATATGCCATTTTATTTATTTTTCGAAGTGCCTAAATATGTGCCTAGCATATGTGGTGACCAAGCGTGTGCGACTGCCTTTAATACTGCGTTTTAAATATTGCTATTGAGTTTGCCCGTTGCAATTTGCGTTTTCAACATTCAATTTGACAATTTTTAACTAATTAATTATGTTTTTAAAAGGTATTACGCCCTTTTTACTTTTTTTCCAAAGTGCCTAAAAAAGTGCCTAATTTGCAAGTGCCTACTTTTAGTCCGTCCCAACTGTGCACCTGCATATGGACCACTGTGAATATTCGGCAGTTTTCAACCGGTTCCCATGAGGAAAATAATCTCTTATTACAATATTTTTAAGAAGTAAATGGATCCTATTCGGAATGATATGTTCCGAAGGAAACAACTCGGACCAAAATACAGATTCAGCTGGTAGTGGTAATTACAACATACATAACTGTATATCACATAAAACGGAAACACTGAAACGTATAAGAATATGTTTGCAGAATAATAAAAAATACAAAAGGCTACATTTGATGGGAACACAAAAATATTGGAAAATTTTTTTGCAATGTTACATGCAAACTCTAGGGTTCGAGACCAAATTCGATTATGATCCGCAAAATTCCAACAACTTTTAACAGTAATTCTGAATAGTATCAATAGTGAAAAAATCAATAGTAAAAATTTCTAAAATTTAATGCGAACGAATTCGAATATGTTGCTTTATTTGCCGACAGCTTTTGACAACGATTTCAATCACATATACAAGTTAAGTGTCTAACACTAAACTATGATCATCAGCAGAACAAAACTTAACAAAATATGGACCTTCAAAAATTGACGAAAAATCAGAATTTGCTGTATTTCGTGCAAACTCAATGATAGGATAGGATAGGATTTACATATTTATCCCGGGGGAGAGGAAAGCCGATAAGACGGCTTATCCATATGGCGAACCACGGCCTCTCGTCCGGTTACCATTCCAAGTCGGGTATGGGATTAGTTATATTGTTTGTTTTCGGAAGCATGGACTTGGTGGCGGAGGAAACCGTAACCGACCAGTGGTTACGTGAACCACCCAACGACGGCGAGGAGTCCAGCAATCCTCTCGCACATAAACATCCCTGCATGGGATTCGAACCTGCGAACCCACGCAGAGTAGTTAGAGGTGCGGTGGCGAGCGTATTCCTAACGCTTAGCCTGTTGATCCACACCGCCGCGCCGAATACCGAATTCGAATATGATCCGCAAAGTGCCAACAACTTTTAACATCATTTCTGAATGGTAATAATAGTGACAAGTATTATATATATATAAAAGTTGAAGGGAACAAAGCGGGACTTTATGATTTATTGGGCTTCAAATACCGGCCAAAAACAAAAATTTCTAAAATTTGATGCGAACCCGATAAATCGAGGCCGAATTCGAGTATGTTGCTTTAAATGCCGACAACTTTTGACAACGATTTCGATCACATGTACATGTCAAGTGTCTAACACCAAAGTATGATCATCAGCAGAACAAAACTTAACTAAATACGGACCTTCAAAAATTGACGAAAAATCAGAATTTGCTGAATT